TGTTTAGTGTCTCACATTAGATCTCTGTGACAAGTAATAATACATGTGACTGGTGGCACAGTCAGTAGCAAATTGAATTGCAGTGCTAGAAGCCACATGGCCTGCCATGGATTTGTATCCCTGGGTCAGCCTGAAAATATGTCGGGCACTGGGGCCGGCAGGTGGCAAGGTGGCAAGGTCAACCCACATGGTCAACTGAAGTTCGAGTCCCGGACCTGGCGGCTTGCTTTCTCACTTTCCTTCTTTCTCTCTCTCTCTAGTCCCTCTCTGGTCAAATTAAAATAAACAAATAAATAAAGTTAAATTAAATAATTCTAAAAAAAAAATATGTTAGGCACTTGTGAGTAACCAAGATGCTGACGAGGTGATAAGACCATATCAAAGGTCCGTCCCTCTTTTTCTCTCCTCATGATTGCACATATGCACTCTCAATAGACTAGAAAAATGAAAATTCATTATCTACATTTATTCAAATTGACCCAATCTATGTTTTATAGTCATACTAGTCTTTTTTTTTTTTTTTTTTTTCCAGCCTGCTTGTTTATGGAAAAGAGAGTGATTTTTGGTAGGCTTTTAGAATGCTGGAATCTTCCTGCTTCAGCCTCCTAGGCAGCTAGGACTACAGGAGCATGCCACCATGCCCAGCCTGCTTAGGCTGGGTGGTGACTTGAACCTGGGCCTCCTATGTGGCTTCACTTCCAAGTAGCAGCATCCTTGTACCACGTATAACCACAGCTAAGCTCAGTCACAGTAGACTCCTATTCCAACCTCGTTATCTAGCATATACTCAATCCATTGTTTCAATAAATATCTTGGTTTCTGATCACTTACAGAAAAATTCTTAACTAAGGAAAATCTCAAGAATATATAATCAATTCCTACTCAAAATCACAAATGTAATATGCCTAGAATAAAGTGATCTGAAGCAAATTATGCAATTCATAGAATGAGAGAAACCTACAAAACAGTGACAGATCTTTACTTAAAAGATGCTACTCCTCAATAAACTCAATCCAAATTTTTAGTATGAGCTGACATCTGACAAGGTCACAACAGTAAGAAAGGTGCCTCATAATTATCCAAAAATATTCAGAAGAAAGGAAAAGGATGGTGAGAGATAAGGATAATACAAAAACCTATCTGATTGAGAATAAGGGTAAGTCAATGTTCAATCTCAACTGGAAAGAGAAATAGCTGAAATTATACCAGAAGCAAATAAAATTATTAAAAGTATTAAAAGATATTTGTTTGTAAAGAAAGTATAAAATTTTGATGTCTGATATTTCACAGTAGAAAGAAAAACATGGCCCTAGGAAGAGCTAATGTTCTGGGACTAGCAGATGGCGTCATGGTCACATTACTGGACCCACGTGGCCAACTCCAGTTCAAGTCACAGACCTGGTTACTTGAAATTCAGACCAGGTGCATGTGTGTTCATGCCCAAAATCTTAAGAGGAGAATAGAGGAAAAGGAATTGTGGCATGGTCATTCCCCCTGGGCGGGAGGGGTGAATTCTGTCTCTCTTCTGTGAGTGTATGTGCCCTAGCAAAAAATCTCTCTTAAAAAGGGGGGGGGAACCAGCAGTTAGCGTAATGGCTATGCCACTGGACTCCCACGTAGTCGATCGCGGTTCGCGTCCTGGACCCAGTGGCTTAAAACTCATGCCAGGTGCGTGCGTGCCCAAGATCCCGAGAGGAGAATGGAGGAGAAGGGATTGCAGGGTGACCATCCCCCCTGGGGGGTGATTTCTCGCTTTCTGTCTCTATGTCTCTCTCTGTTTGTCTGGCGAGCGCATGCGCCTTATAGCGAAAATCTCTCCAAAAAAAGGGGGGGGGAGCAAATGGTGTAATGGTTACATTGCTAGACTCCCACAGAGTTGACAGTGGTTCAAGTCCCAGACCTAGCTGCTTAAAACTCACACCAGGGGTGTGTGCATGCATGCCCAAAATCCCAAGAGAAAAATAAAGAAGGGATCACAGCATGGCCATCTCCCCGGGGGGAGGGGGGTGGTTTCTTGCTGTCTCTCTGTCTCTCTCTGTCTCTCTGGTGAGCACATGTGACCCTTAGCAAAAATCTCTAAAAAAAAAAAAAGAGGGACCAGCAGTTAGCATAATGGCAATGCAAAAACCTCTCCAAAAAAGAGAAAAAGAAAAAGAAAGAAAGAAAACTAATATTTAAAACTTCTCCAAAGTAGATTAAATAACAAAAATACTACAAAAATGGGGAAAAGGAAGATGGGGAGAGAGGTAGAATTTAGTGCAGAGAGTCCAAGCTCTGGTAGGAGACTCTTTGGGTTCAATTCTTAGCTTTGCTACTTAGGAGCTGTGTGATTTCTGGCATGTTTCTTAATCTCTTGGTGCCTTAGTTTTGTCATGTGTGAAACAGTGATAATAAAGTTTATTCATAAGAATGTTCAGGGACCAGCAGTTAGCGTAATGGCTATGTCGCTGGACTCTCATGTAGTCGACCGTGGTTCATGTCCCAGATCCGGTGGCTTAAAACCCACGCTGGGCGCATGTGCGTGCGTGCCCAAGATCCCGAGAGGAGAATGGAGGAGAAGGGATTGCAGCATGGCCAACCCTGTGGGGGGTGATTTCTCACTTTCTGTCTCTCTGTCTCTGTCTGTCTGTCTGGCAAGCACACGCACCCTATAACAAAAACCTCTTTAAAAAAATAAGAAGAGGGAACCAGCAGTTAGCGTAATGGCTATGTCACTGGACTCCCACGTAGTTGACCGCGGTTCGCGTCCCGGACCCGGTGGCTTAAAACCCACGCTGGGCGCATGTGCGTGCGTGCCCAAGATCACCAGAGGAGAATGGAGGAGAAGGGATTGCAGCGTGGCCATAACCTCTGGGGGGGTGATTTCTCGCTTTCTGTCTCTCTGTCTCTCTCTGTCTGGCGAGCGCACGCGCCCTATAGTGAAAAACCTCTCAAAAAAAAAAAGTAAAAAAATAAAAAATAAGAAGAATGTTCAGAGGATTTTATGAATTAATATATCGAGAGTGCTTACACAGTACCAGATACATAATAAAAGTACTATATAAATAGTATACTTGAAGCCAGCAGGTGGCGCTGTGGCTAAGGAGCTGGACTCACATGGCCCACTGCACTTCAAGTCCTGGACCCAGTGGCTTGAAATTCACACCCTTGAACGTGTATGCATGCTCAAAATCCCAAAAGAATGGAGAAGGGACTGTGGCATAGCCACTCCCCTGGAATGATTTCTCACTTTCTGTCTCTTTGTCTCTCCAACAAGTACACACACCCTATAACAAAAATCTCTCTAAAAAAAGAAAATAAGTAAATAGTATACTTTTTAAAACAATTTATTTAACTTTATTTATTATTGCTGTTTTCCAGATTGATCAGAAAGAGACAGAGACAGAAATAGAGAAGGAAAGTGAGAAAGTAAGCCACCAGGTCTGGGACTTGAACCATAGTTGGCCATGTGGGAGTCCAGCACCTTTAATCACCATGCTACCTGCCAGCCCTGTAAATAGTATACTTTTGAATAAAAGATATATAAAGATTAACATCAACGGTGATATTTGGTTAGAAAATCAAAATTTAAAATATTGTACAGATCTATAATTCTTTATTCAAAATCTTTTTGCTAGATGTGTTCCTGAATTTAATTTTTTTCATATTTTAGAAATGTAATACATTATATTATCTATATTTTACCTAACATGTGGCATCCTGGATAGCAGTCTTAAACACATTAGTATTTCTACAATGAAATATATCAAGTCACACTAAATGGAATAAATGAAGATTTAAAATAGACTCATGTCAGTTCAGATCAGATTTTTGCCCCCAAAAGAATTAAGAAAAAGAAATGGATTTTGGAATAAAAGATAAGAGATTGTGAAGCTGTAGCTGAGAGCCATAAATCTCATGTTAAATAATAGAATAATCATTATGGGATATACAGAGCACTGATGATATTAAATGAAAAACTTTTCTGAAAATCTAATAAAGACCCAGAAAACCTAAAGTTTTCTCTAAAGAAAAAAAAAAAAAAGCACACACACACACACACACATATATATATAAAATACATATGTGTTGGGTTGTTGGAAAAGTCATGATGCATTTTTGCATAGAAAATATCATGACTTTTCGATAGATAGATATAATATAGATAGATAGATAGATAGATAGATAGATAGATAGATAGTGGGGGTTTTTTGGAGAGGTTTTTGCTACAGGGCGCATACGCTCGCCAGAAAAACAGAGAAACAGAAACGTGAGGTGGCCACAGCACAGTCCCTTCTCCTCCATTCTCCTCTCAGGATCTTGGACATGCATGCACACACGCCTGGCATGAGTTTAAGCCACCAGGTCCAGGACTCGAACCACAATCAACTACATGGGAGTTCAGCAACAGCCATTACGCCAACTGCTGGTCCCTATAATATAGTTTTTAAAAATTAAGTACAAGTACATTCTTTTGCTTAAAGAATTAATTTTATTATTTTTTTAAATTTGCTATAGGGCTCATGCACTCACAAGAGAGACAGAGAGAAAGTGAGAGAGGGAAAGTGAGAAAGCAAGTTGCTAGGTACAGGACTTGAACCACAGTTGGTCACATGGGACTCCAGCACCTTATCACTATGCTACCTGCTGGCCCCTACCATATGGGTTTTTTACCTGGGTCTCACTTGGGTGGCTTTTTTGTGGCAATAATTGTTCACAATGCCTAAAATACCTCCCCAAATATTTCAATCACTGACTATATTTCAGATCTCTGTTCAAATATTACTTCAGGGAGGCTTTTTTGATTGTTCTATTTAAATCAGGTGGGAGGCAAGCATACACATTCACACACAATCACACAGAAACTCTCTTGCCATTTTCCTATTCTCCTTTTAGCACTTATCATTATCTAGCATTATGTTATGCACTTGCTCATTATCTGTCTTACAAAGATCAGATTACTGTGTGTCTTGGTCCATTTTGTGTTGTTGTAACAGAATACCTGAGACTGAATAATTGATAAAAAACAGAGATTTATTTCTTACAGTTCTGGAGGTTGGGAAATCCAAGGTGAAGAAGCCCGCATCTGGAGAGGGAGGGCCTTCTTAATACATTATCCGTTAGTGGAAGGCAGAAGACAACACACACATTAAGTGTGTATGTGAGAAAGTCCAAACTCAACCTTTTATAAAGAACCCATTCCCTCAATAACTTATGCACTCCCATAATAACACCACTAATCACCTCTAAAGTCTCACCTCTCAACAGAGTTGCATTAGGGGCTGTTTCTGGTTTTCTCTCTTCTTTTTAAAAAAATTTATTTAACTTTATTATTATTATTTTCCAATATGATCAGAGAGAGAGAGAAAGCAAGCCACAAGGTTCAGAACGTGAACCATGCTTGGCCATGTGGGAGTCCAGGGCCTTTAACACATGAACTTTGGGGAACATATTCAAAACCACAAGAACAGATATTTTATTTTGTTAGAGCATCCAAAACAATGTCTGGCAAATAGACATTAAATATTATCTAACAAATGACAAAGAAATTGGGCTAATAGGTAGTGTGGTGGTAAAGGCACTAAATCCACATGGCCAACTCCACAGTTCAAATCCTGGGCGCAGTGGTTTTATAACCACACCAGGCATGTGTACATGTATGTACAAAATCCTAAGAGGAGAACAGAAGAGAAGGGAATGTGGGTGGTGTGGCCATTTCCCCTAAGGGGTGATTTCTCTCTTTCTTTCTGTCTCTGTCTCTCTCTGGACAATGTATGTGTCCTAGGGCAAAAATCTTTAAAAAATAAAATATGGGACCAGCAGTTGGTGTAATGGCTATGTCACTGGACCCCCACATAGTTGACCACATTCAAGTCCCGAACCTGGTGGCTTAAACTCATGCCAGGTGCGTGCATGTTCGTGCCCAAGATCCCAAGAGGAGAATGGAGGAGAAGGGATTATGGTGTGGCAATCCCCCCTTGGGGATGATTTCTCACTTTCTGTCTGTCTCTCTCTGTCTTTCTGGCAAGTGCACACGCTCTACAGCAAAAAACTCTCAAAAAATCAAATAAAATATGAAAATAGACTAGTTATCAAAACACTAGCAAAGTGTGTTTTGAAAACCAGTCCTGATAGGGCAAGTCATACCTACTTTTCAGAAAGAAGTTCAAGAGAAAAAAGATGGGGCCAGCAGGTGGCATGGTGGCTAAGGGGACTGGACTCCCATATGGCCAACTGCAGTTCAAGTCCTGGACCTGACGGCTTGCTCTCTCCCTTTCCCTTTCTCTCTCTCTCTGGTAAAATTAAATAATAATAATAACAACAAATGGACTTAAATAAACATTGTTTTTAAAAAAAGAAAAAGCCATCTAAACATCAGCTGTAATACAAGGATTTCAAAAGTTCATGGAAAATGGGGCCAGCAGTTAGCGTAATAGCTATGTCGCTGGACTCCCATGTAGTCAACCGCAGTTTGCATCCTGGATCTGGTGGCTGAAACTCACACCGGGTGCGTGTGTGTGCATGCCCAAGATCCTGAGAGGAGAATGGAGGAGAAGGGATTGCGCCGTGGCCATCCTCCCTGGGGGGGGTGATTTCTCGCTTTCTGTCTCTCTGTCTCTCTGTCTCTCTCTGTCTTTCTGTCGAGCGCATGCACCCTACAGCTAAAAACCTCTCCCAAAAAAAAGAAAAAAAGAAAAAAAAAGTTCATGGAAAACGCATATTATGAAAAATTTTACATAGATTTCAATTTTTTGGCACCCTCACAAATTCATGTTCTTTTTTTTTTTTTAAGAATTATTTATTTAATTTTATTTATTCATTCATTTATTTTAATTTGACTAAAGAGAGACAGAGTGTGAGAGAGAAAGTGAGAAAGCAAGCCACCAGGTCCAGGACTCAAACCGTGGTCGGCCATGTGGGAGTGTCCAATGCTTTAGCCACCACGCCACCTGCTGGTCCCCAAATTCATGTTCTAATGTCATTTTTCCATGAACTTCTTGAGGTCCCCTTGTATGTTTATGTAATATGACTATGGAATTTCAAAATAGTAATGTAAAAAACATTTCTTCACCAAATACGTATTTATCAAGTAATTATCAATTTACTATCTAGGAAATAAATGACATTTACATTTACTAATTTTGTTTTGAGTATTTAAGTAGACAAGAAGAAAAAGCATACTCACAAGGTAAACATAATTACTATAACATACAAAATATTAAAGAACTTACTTTGATTTTTTTTTTTTTTTTTTGCTATAGGGCGCATGTGCTCGCCAGATAGAGAGAGAGATTGAGAAATCACTCCCTTAATGGGTATGACAATAACACAATATCTTTTCCATTCTCTTCTTGGGATTTTGGGTACGCGTACACATGCACCTGGTGTAATTTTCAAGCTGCAAAGTCTGGGTCTTGAGCCAGCCATCTGGGAACTAGCTGCCTTAATCTTCATACCACCTACTGCTCTGTATTCTTTACTTGAAGTATCATCTTGATTTTTCCCAACACGTTTTACTCACCATAAAGACAGAGAGAGAGAAATCTTGTTGCTCTTCATCTAATTGTAAAATGCTACTGCATTAAGTTGTATAAATGTCCTGGATTATTAGCCTCAGAGGGCAGTAGTATCTGGTTATATGTATGTACCTGTGTATGTATCTAGTCTTCCTCTAGGTATAAAAATGGCAACACACTGATAATTTAAAGTAAACAAGTAAGTTTTAGGTCTTCCAACACATTGCAACAAAGTTCAACAGTGTTTTCCAATTTAGATAAATCTATTCTATGGAAAGACCCAGCTTTCCTCTCTATCTGTAACCTAATCTACATGTTAGGTCTGACATCTGAATTACTTTTTTTTTCCCTAGAGGGCACATGCACTCATGAAAGAGAGTGAGATAGAGAGGGAGAGAAAAAAAAAATTCCTCCAAAGGGGAACGGTCACACAACAACCCCTTTGTCTCCATCATTCCCTCTTTTTGGAATGATGGGCACACATGCACACACACGTGCCCAGTATGTTTCTCAAGCCACCAGATCCAAGACTTGAACTATGCAGTCAACCATATTGGATCCAGCTGCCTTAACCACTAAAACTATGAAACTGCCCCTGAATTACTTTTAAAGAAAAAAGGAAAGGAAAGGAAAAATGCAAGCTAAGAATCTTGGTCACACACTTAGCAAAAATACCAAGAATTACTACCATTTTCAAATTACCATACTTGTAGCCAACAAATTGACATTTCACTGACAATAGTATCATTTAAGACAATAGTATCATTTCAACATACTACTTTTATACTTTCTTCTTTACATTACTCATAAACCAGGGAAAAAAGGTAAAAAACAACAACAACAACAAAAAACAGTAAACAATAAAACAAAACAAAACAAAAACATGGTCTGGTCCCTGTTCGCCAAGTATACTAGACTTCAATGTTGGAAGCCATATGCTGACTATGGGTTCAGATCCCTGGGTAGACCCTGAGAACACACACAGGGTGTGTGCACAGGCACCTAAGATCCTGAGGAGCTGGAGAGCTGGGGAAAGGGGATCATGGAATGAAGAGACCATGTCAAGGATGCTTTTTATCTCTTTCTTCACTCCCCCCCATGTTTACCCACATCCTGCCTATCACTAAAAAGGAATAAATAAACATTTAAAAAAATAAAAATAAGCTACAACAGCACTTTAATGGCTTTTAAACTGTTATCCCTGAAATTGGAAGAATTTTGTTAGAATTACTTGAAAAAATAATGGAAATTGGGACCAGCAGTTGGCGCAATGGCTATGTCACTGAACTTCCATGTAGTTGACCGCGGAGTCCAGGATCCAGTGGCTTAAACTCACGCTGGGCACATTTGCATGTGTGCCCAAGATCCTGAGAGGAGAATGGAGAAGGGATTGTGGTGTGGCTACCCCCCCTCCCCCCAGGGTGATTTCTCACTTTCTGTCTCTCTGTCCCTGTCTTTCTGGCAAGCACGCACCCTATAGCAAAAACCTCTCAAAAACAAAAGCAAATAAAAAATAATGGAAATTGAGATTTCCCTTCAGGGAAATCACTGGAATAAAGAAAATTAACACGCATCTGCACCAGATGCTACTACTAATCAATGACTCAGGATGAGGAGGTGGGTCAAAAATATTAAGCCAGACAATTGGTCTAAAAAATGATCAGAGGCTTATAGTTATATAAAATTTGGCAAATGAAATCAAGTATAAACAAGTATTTGTCCCTTTGCTCTCAGTTGCATATTCTCATTTAGTGAATTTCATTTGAATAAACACATTTTGGTAATGCTGTAGTAGTTAGGAGAATAAGGAATGATTTTTCTAGCTCTATGCACTCAACAGAGAGGGTCCTGCTTACCTGCTTATGAGAACTGGTTCAATATCAAGTTAACATTTCAAGAGTAAACTAAAGCATCCACTTTAATAACTCCTACACCAATAGAGAAAAAGCTGTCCTTGTTTAAGTGAAAATTCAAGATTGCTAGAATAGTCTGTTTCAGAGCACACATGAACTCAACAAGTCTCATGCTCCTGACCCTTGTCTTCAAGTTCCTAAATTGGAATAAAACCAGATAAATGCCTGAAGAACCACTTCACACCCAAAACACGTGCAAACTTTGTTCAACAGAACATTTTACTGCCAAAGTGGAGCTGGCAGAAGTTTGGAGCAAAGGCCCCCAGGCAGCATGATTTGCTGGCAACAGAAAGCAAAAATCCTAACATAATGCTGTAAGTTAGTACTACCAATTTGCTTGAGACTCCTCCCCCAAAGCTTGACAAGATGAGTTGCCATCAAGAAAGACTTTATTACCACTTCACCCTCTATCCAGAAATACCTTAACCACTCCTGATTGTCATACCTCTATATTCGTCAATGGTTGTGTTTACACAGTAAATTTAATGCAACCTATTATGAAATGCATCTAGACTCAATTTTATTGGGTTGCTTGGATAAAGAGACACAGGAGGAACTACTATGAATACACCAAATTAATTATGATAATTCTACCTGAATATACTTGATCCAAATAACCCCAATATAACATTTATTATATATTATTATATATATTTATTGTCATCAAAAATGTGGAAGAAATTAAGATATAGAATTACCTGTAAATTGCCATAATTTTACACTTGGTTCAGCTTGTCTTCTCTAAGTTTGAGTGGCAGGTAGTTTACTTTGTATATGAACAATTTAGGAGAGCTAGGAAAAAGGTCAAAGAGACTTCTCTTCAACAAGGGTCAACAGTAAAGTCCCATTCAAAATCTTCATAATCTTGATGCTGTTTCACGAGGAAAAACTTCATCTGAATTTTAAAATTGCAGTTAAAATACAGGCAACTATCCAACTAGCAACTTTAAACTTGCAAATGTTTGATAAATATGCAGTGTTGAGAAACTATGCCTTGGTAGGTTATCATGTGTTGTTTCAATAAGACACAAGGTTTAAAGATGCTTCTTGCTTCTCACACAGGTAAAAAAAAAAAAAAATTGGAATTTTCTAATCTGTTTTCTCAGTAGTTCCATGTACTTTATTAATGTCTATGATAGTCTTGTTTCTTCTACTCTAGAATCTTCTAAGTATTCTAATTCTCAGATATGATTTCATGTTTTCATCAGTTTCTAATCTCTATAATACAGTTGGAAGCATATAGGACAAAATATCCTTTAAAAGATCAAGTTGCAGAAGACTGTAGTTTAAAAAATATTTATATAGTAATGCTGCCACCAAAAGATGAGCTGAATAAAAAAGCAATTCAAAGGAAATGACCCATCACTCTTAAACCAGCTCAAAATATTTTAGGGATTAATAAACATTCCGTTGTCATTGTTAGTATGGAAGTTGAATTGTTTCACAATAACTTAGTGCTGAGCTGTTATGTCTGTGGCAGAACATTTTAAATCAAACCTTTTAGAGTCCTCTTAGATGCTTCTCAGCTATCAGGCACTGCCTACAGTAAAGAGGGTGCATTAAAATATACCTGGAAAAAAAAACAAGAGATTTCTAGTGGATAAAGTAGGTGATAATACATCAGGCTTTTCCTTCTATTGGATTCCTCGAAACTGAACAATTTACTTACATTTTGGTAACTCGATTTTCTCATCCATAAAATGGGATTGGATTACACTTTGCTCATATTACTAGCCTACAAGGCTTTACCTGATAATCTTCGAGGATAAGGTCTTAAAATGAATTTAAAAGTCTACTCTTGCCTAACAGGGCATTTTGTTGTGTATTTGCAAAGTAAATTCAAAATAAAATATATTCAATTAAATAAATTAGGGCAGTGACTATTTACCTAAATCACAGGTTGGCGTCTCGAAGGTCTATTTAAATAATGATAAAGGTGGTGAAGGCAGTGTTCTAATAATTTTGCAGCAGATAATTATTAGCTGATCCATGGCATTTCTACATAGGCAGTGTTGCAGGGTGGAGATGTGGCAGTATGCAAGGCAGGGCGGTAAAGCGTTACCGTGCACCAGAAATCTTGTCAAACTTGGTAAGATTTCAAGAAAACTGTCTTCTAGGACATTTAATCGTTCTACATTTCGTGCTGACACAGCTATTTATGAAAATTAACTCATTCCTTTAACTCTCATCCTCTTGGCCCAAAGAGGATAAAATTGGGATCTTGTCTTTAGTACCATTCCTCCAAAGGGGCCCGGTTTCACCTACATTGCGTGGGAGGCTGGGCAGAAACCCCACGCTTCCTGTCAAGGATTCCTGGGGCCGGGGCCAGGACTTGGTCTGGCTTCTTTCTTCTTTATGCTAATTGTGCCCTTCCAGTTCCTCTCTGCGGGTGTCTGAAGGCCAAGGTGAGACCCTCCCGAGAGATGAAAGGCCCACTGCCTCCGGAGAGACTGGGCGGAGTGGGGTGGGGGTGGGGGGGGG